CCATCCAGTTAAAAGAGGAGGTCATTTCGGAAGCATAATTTTGAAAAAGAAATAGATTTGACAACGCATCACAAGGTACAAGATTTTAATAACATGAAAATAAGACAGACAGAATAATATAGACTGAAAGAGCCCTGTATGGACTGAGAGTGAAGAGAGCGAGTAATTACCGGTGTTAAATATAATCACAGATGAGCTTAATTCTTCTTGGATTATCTGGGATTACATAGGATCCTTACTTAATCGTTTTTGGATCATCTGGGATTACATAGTTTCCGCCTGTGTCCTTTAATTCTGTGCTCTCACCACTGACACAGATTATCTTTGTATATACTTTGTCTGCATTTGAATATCTTGTACGTAGTGATCATGTCTCCTCTATTTCGCATTCCAACTATGCAAGGTTCACCTCCCTCGATCTGTCCCAGTCAGCTTGGTTCAGTGACCACAAATTGCGGAAATAACGTTACTTCATAAACTTAGCGAGTTTTTTTTTTTTACCAGGTATGTCAAGCTGAGGCTGCATATGCCCCGACTGGTCTCACGTAGGTTGTGTGTGTGTGTTTGACAATCGGTTACACCGAATCCTGTTCAATTGTGTCATACTCCTTGACACAACGTGCGAGACGCTCTTTCTTTAAGAGGTCAAAATAATATTACGAAATCTTAAAGAGCCTGTCAGTTAATCTTGGAACTAAGCTTCAGAAGGCCCCCCCCCCAGCTCACTCGGACACCCCCTCCCCCCCCCCCACAAGCTCACCCCACACCCTTAAACTCCCCCAGACACCAGGAAAAGCAACAGATGCGTTGAGTCAAGTGTCATGTTCAAGGCACAAAGTGGTATAGTGTTGCCTCTTAAGTGTTACAAGAAGAGAATGTGACAGATCACTTTTATTGTGGATGAAACACTTTCCCCAAAACAACTTAACCTAATCGCACCCACTCTGACGTAACCTCACCTAACTTAACCCAAGCACACCTACCCTAACCCAAACTAATCTAACCTAACTATACCTAACCCAAACAAACCTAACCTAACCATACCCAACCTGACGTAACCTAACCTATCATAACTTAAACTAACCTAACTCAGTCTACCCATAACGAACTCCTCCCAGCCCAACGAAATATAAAAGATTGTGGCAAATAGAAAACGAGGCTTGTCGGAGCCATATTGTGTTCGATTCCACAATACCCTATGGACCCGGTCTTCATATTTATAATTAACATTGACAAATCTCTCTCGGAGAGAGAGAGAGAGAGAGAGAGAGAGAGAGAGAGAGAGAGAGAGAGAGAGAGAGGAGAGAGGAGAGAGAGGAGAGAGAGAGAGAGAGAGAGAGAGAGAGAGAGAGAGAGAGAGAGAGAGGGAGAGAGAGAGAGGGAGTCTTACTCGACCTGTAGGCAAGAGCTAGTCTCCTAATTCACCAAGATCGTACCACAAGCTGTGGATTGGAAGAGGGTGCTGTGGTGAACAGGAGAGGGGGAAGACCTGCCACAGGAAGGGGCCAAGACCTGCCACAGGAGGAAGGACATGGGTACCCAGAGAGCTCACCGAACTCCCTCTATCTACTAAAGTACTCATTGTACAAGCTGGGCCCAGCGCCCCCCACTCCACCTCTCTCTCTCCTCCTGTCAAGTATAACTCCTCCTCTCTCTCTACTCCTGTCAAGTATAACTCCTCCTCTCTCTCTACTCCTGTCAAGTATAACTCCTCACGTAAACTATTTGTCAGCTATACCCAGTTTCCGGTAGCCCCATGAGTATCCTCTCCTGTATATCATACATACATACATACATGAGCAACACCTGGCCACAGGGTCTTTTTATCTCGTTAATTGTCACATTTGTATATTAAGAAGATGATAAATTATTAGCCTTATTCTCATTTTCTTATTTTTTATTCACTTTTATTTTCTTCCACGTTATTATTCTCTCTCTCTCTCTCTCTCTCTCTCTCTCTCTCTCTCTCTCTCTCTCTCTCTCTCTCTCTCTCTTCCCTTCTCCCTGTGTTTGGGCGCGCCGCCCCCGCCCACACCCGCCTGGAGTGGCTGCTTCAAACAACCAGATCAAAAGAAAATTGGCAATTGTTCTTTCTAAAGGTTTCTTTTGCGGCCATCCCTTGTGGCTGTGGGCGTTGGTGGAGGCATTGTGGGCGTGGGCGGCGTTGGTGGAGGCATTGTGGGCGTGGGTGGTGATGGTGGAGGCATGGTGGGCGTGGGGGGCAGCGTTGGTGGAGGCATTGTGGGCGTGGGCAGCGTTGGAGGCATTGTGGGCGTGGGCAGCGTTGGTGGAGGTATTGTGGGCGTGGGGGGCGTTGTTGGAGGCATTGTGGGCGAGGGCGGCGTTGGTGGAGGCATTGTGGGCGTGGGCGGTGTTGGAGGCATTGTGGGCGTGGGCAGCGTTGTTGGAGGCATTGTGGGCGTGGGTGGTGATGGTGGAGGCATGGTGGGCGTGGGGGGCAGCGTTGGTGGAGGCATTGTGGGCGTGGGCAGCGTTGGAGGCATTGTGGGCGTGGGCAGCGTTGGTGGAGGTATTGTGGGCGTGGGGGGCGTTGTTGGAGGCATTGTGGGCGTGGGCGGCGTTGGAGGCATTGTGGGCGTGGGCGGTGTTGGAGGCATTGTGGGCGTGGGCGGCGTTGTTGGAGGCATGGTGGGCGTGGATGGTGTTGTTGGAGGCATGGTGGGCGTGGGCAGCGTTGGTGGAGGCATTGTGGGCGTGGGCGGCGTTGTTGGAGGAACTGTGGGCTTGGGCAGCGTTGGAGGCATTGTGGGCGTGGGCGGCGTTGTTGGAGGCACTGTGGGCGTGGGCAGCATTGGTGGAAGCATTGTGGGCGTG